CTAAAGACCCAAGTTTGGAATGAAGACGAAAAACGTACAGCGAGAGACAGGTTGTCCTGACCTTGCAGCGAAATACACAAATCTGACTGCTGAGTCAAGGAGAGATTATCTATTCTGACATCTTTTTTTGTGCTCTGCCAAGTTTCTGAGTTTTCTGATGTGTTCAGTTTGGCACCAAATCTATCAAATTTCTCTGTGTCCCTTAGAACCATTATATCTGAGCTCTTTTGATGAGCAGAACAAATTGGTTTAGGGAGAGAGTCGTGGCACTGTAATTTTCAGCAATTAAATCTCTACCAGTGAAAGAAAAGAGATTTTAAAAACATGATTGCTTAACTAAAGCCCTTAAGGTCAATGATGGCAGTTATTTTTGATATTTAACAATTACTTAAGCCAACAACCTTAAAGTCGTCATGAAACATAAGTTGCGATAGTCTTTTCTTCACTATTGAGATGTGTATCCGAATAAATCGGCTTCTTAAACAAAACAAAAAGGAGGGTGGGACTGGGACTTGATTTTGTTTCTCGGGAATTGATTGGATCATTATGGTTTGCTATTGCTGCGATCTCATATACTGGTATTAAGATGCATTTTGATCAATAGGATCACAAGTGGGTAAAGGTGTAAACGAAGTCTGAAGTGTTTTGAGCTTGTTCAATTGTGACCACTTCCAGAGGTAGTCGAAAACACAATTGCTGCATGTTTAAGCACTCGTGTGGGCGAAAGCGCTCGAAATTTCACAAAAAAACACTTTCTCTCCGCCTACTGACTTAATGTGTAAACATTATGGGAAGCGCGCTAGCCAGACGGGATTTAAACTTTGTCGGCTAAAGACCCAAGTTTGGAATGAAGACGAAAAACGTACAGCGAGAGACAGGTTGTCCTGACCTTGCAGCGAAATACACAAGAAAAAAAAAAGAGATGTCAGTGTAATAGAGAGGGGAAGTTGTTTTAAAAAAAAAATGACAACGGAATATGAATTTTCCAAAAAATATGACGTGTACGGATAAATCATTTATAATAAATACTTCAGTATTCCAAAAAACAAGTATTGTCAGTTTTGATTTCATGGTGACTTTCATGGTAGAAGACATAAGTTGTCTATCAGAGCAAACAGTTTGGTTTTCAAACTGAAACAGCAAAGGTTGGTGATGCCATACCAAGGGCAGGTTCAGTCTGTACGTCTGTATAGGCCCTAACAAAGTCCTCAACATCTTCAGGGAGAAACAGACTGGGCTGGATGAAGGTGAGGAGGGAATAGACTTCTTGCAAGTTATTCTGAATGGGAGTGCCTGTCAACAGCACTCGAAAACTCACTGTAAACTGAGAAAAAGCAGACATCAGATGGCAGTTAATATCAGGGAAAAGCTGAACGATCGACAGGCAGTGCTCGGTTTATTATCATGGGTTTTACACGCTGACAGTGACAATAAAAATATTAAAGCATGCCTATATTAAAATGCAATCGTGTAACCTGTTTGAGGGTTTGGTGCAGCAATGATTCCTGGTTCTTCAGCCTGTGAGCCTCATCTACAACTAAAATCTTCCATTTCCAGCTGTGAGAAGAGAGTGGAGTGGTACAGTTGAATTTGAATCGCTGTCGCTGATACCGATAAGCTGATAATTATTTTATGTCATGGTCAATAACTGAAAAATGTAAAAAAAATTAAATAAAATGTACACTGTTATGTAAAAAAAAAAAAAAAAAAAACACGACATACTAATTAGGTTTCAAAAAGATTAACTTTAAGTGACAGCAAAGGTAATTTAAAAATAAGGCAAATGAATATGATTAATTTAACATTTAATATCCAAAATCGACCAATATATCTGCAGTTATCACAGATAATGAAAAATAAAAAAAAGCTTTAATATTACCCAAAAATCGATATGGTATCAATATGGTCATTTAATTACACAAAAAATGTCTGTGTATTCAGAATTGTGTAAATATACATTTTTTTTTATAAAGTTTCATAATATATGATCTGTTCACCAACATAGATCACCTTTTCAGGAATCTGGCATCCTTGAGGCACATCTATTAAATACGAGAAAGATTTCACATTAAAAACAGTGCAAAAACTTTGAAATCTTTTGAATGTATGAATTGTGCATTTATCCTCTGAAAACAGGCGCACTAACCTCATAGGTGGTGAGAAGAACATGGAAGTTTTTGCCATTTTTGAGCTCTTCCTGGAGCTCTGCCCGTCTCTCTTTATCCCCAGTGTAATAGAGCACAGAAAGACTGGGACAGAAACTGAATGAAAAGGGAAAGTAAGAGAACCTTAACTAATCTTATGTGAAGCTTATATATTGCATTCAATGTAGATACTAATATATGCTACTGTCTCCATCTAGTGACAGTGACAAAATATTGTCTTTCCGGTCAAATCAGTTCATGCTGGATTATTCACACATTCATTGGCATATAGTTTCATAGTCACAATAAAGTAAGAAATCAAAATGTTTAAAATCATCATGAAACGGAAGTTGCGATTGTCTTTTCTTCTCTATTGTGATGCATATCCAAGATGCTTCTCTAACATGAAAAAAAAAATAGCTTGGGACTTGATTTTGTCTGTAGGGAGTTGATTGGATGGTTGTAGTTTGCTATGGCTGTGATCTCATGCGAGTGACAGTTTGTCACATATTTGTATTTCATGCAGTGACTTTAATACACAGACCACACAAGTCTGATCATACATTAGTATCCCTTACCGTTCCAACTCTTGTCTCCAGTTCTCCAAAACGGATAAGGGACAAAGCACAAGGAATGGTCCGTTCATCTTAAGACATCCACGAGCATATGCCAGCAAAGAGATGGTCTACAGCAGAGGATGACATCTCACTTATCTGATATCTGATATCTTGGAATAAATCTTTAATAGATCTTAAGCAAGATAAGCCCATAACATTACTAACCTGACAAGTCTTGCCCAGACCCATCTCATCACCAAGGATGCAGCCCTCCTGGATCTCCATGCACTGTGACAGCCACCTAACTCCATCCAACTGATAAGACCTCAGATTAATAGCTGTTAGGAAGGAGATAAAGTATAGTAGTGTTTGTTTGTAAGAAAACGGTAACACGTTACAATACGGCTTCACTAATATGCATTAATTCATGTTTAAATAATGCACAGATAATCATGAGGTAATGTATGACTCATGAGGAGCTAAACCATTAATTAATGATTACTGCTTCAGCAACTAAAAGTCTATATGAATAATAGATTAAGTAATAAAGTAATTGCTATTAATTCAATGTGTCATTGTGTATTAATTCCTTAATAACATATTGAGGCACATGACTATTAACTAATTGTTAAGTAATATGTAATTTTGGTTTTGACATCCACACTATGGATTTCAATTTCCCACCTTATACAACTGGGATTCCACTGTGCCAGTTCATGGCACAGAAGTGTGTCAGGTTAAGCTTGAGCTCTAGGATTTAAAGGAAGAACACTGAGAATATGAGGCGGGACTCTGCTATTTCATAACACTGTGTCTAGACCGGACAAAGAAACTAGAACCCACTATAATCAGTGACACAACAATGGATGCCACACAATGCTACACGACGACACAACAAAATCCAGACAGTAAACTGATGCCTCACTCTATTTCTGATGTACTCCGAGCTCCTGCGCTACTTCTGTTATGAAGGAGCTTTAATGGTTTAGTCCAGTTTAAACACGGTGTAACAGCGTCAGTACAGATTCTGGTGTGCTGATATTTGTGTGCGGCCCAACTTACATTTGTGACACGTCGTTTGTGAAATATTGTCATGCATTGAATCTTAAATTGGAATACAAATACCTTTCCGTGTTTTTAAAAACATTTTAGCTTCTCATTCCCTCACCTCCTAGTCCCCATTTTTTCAAGTCACTCTCTGTTAGTTCCGACTTGTCCTTTTCTGGTATGTTGCGACTGACAGCTTGAAGAAATATTGACATTGTTGTGGTTTAATTACGTTTTCCTTAAATTCTAACTTTCGACACTTTATTCAGTCGAATATTAAAGTTAAGCTAGGTTGCGCTACGCGCGCCAGATTTGAAGTGGATTACTTCCTGCAACAGTGAGTGGGCGTGTACAAGACAGACGTTGTCCAATGAGTAGTCGGCAATGCAATTACGTATAGTCCACTTCAGAGACATGGCTCTGGTCCACTTTAAAGGCGCCAGTGATAAAAACAAAAACAAAACAACACATTAATATATATATATATATATATATATATATATATATATATATATATATATATATATATATATATATATACTGTATGAAAGGAAAATGACAAATCATCTGATAAAACTTTACTTTATTTACAGGATGATATCATTATACAGTATAAGGCAGAGAAAAATAGACAGTGCAACTTTCAAAAGCCACCCCAAAAATATTTGCTTTTATATAAATATCCCTTTTCAGATATCTTAAAATCTTTCCTAACTATTCTACAACATATTTAAAATAAATCACTTTCAGTAAAAAGGAGTCTTATTCTTTATGTTCAGAGTTAAAGGGTTCGTTCACCCCAAAATGAAAAACATGTCATTAATGACTCACACTCATGTCGTTCCAAGCCCGTAAGACTTCCGTTCATCTTCGGAACACAGTTTAAGCAGTTTAAGATATTTTAGATTTAGTCCGAGGGTTTTCTGTCCCTCCACTGAGAATGTGTACGGTATACTGTCCTATCATCAAAGTAGTCCATGTGACATCAGTGGGTTAGTTAGAATGTTTTGAAGCATCAAATATACATTTTGGTTCAAAAATAACAAAAACTACAACTTTACTCTACAACTACAACACTGTATTCTCTTCCAGTTCTGCGTTCACGAGTCCGCAGAGACGCTGATGATGTCACCAGTGTCACTACGGACAGAACCAGAAGCCAATACAATGTTTATTAAAGTCATAGTTTTTGTCATTTTTGGACCAAAATGTATTTTGAATGCTTCAAAACATTCTAACTAACCTACTGATGTCACATGGACTACTTTGATGATGTCTTAATTTTATTTTGGATAAGGACAGTATTCCGTACATACATTTTCAATGGATGTACAGAAAGCTCGTGGACTAAATCTAGAATATCTTAAACTGTGTTCTGAAGTTGAACTGAGGTCTTACTGGCTTTGGAACGACATGTGGTTGAGTCATTAATGACATAATTTTCATTTTTGGGTGAACTAACCCTTTAAGAAAATGCCATTAAAACTAGCAGTGTCTGTCAATGATGTTTTGATGATCCCGGAATCACAGAATACTTGACCAGAAAGTATCTGGAGTAGTGAAAGGCCAAACCTCAGCCTTGTCATTTCACACATGTGTTGAACAGCATCGAGAAAAACTTCAGGATGGCATCTCTGGTTAAGGAAAAGAGAATGTAAGGCCTTTTAAAAAGATTTCTAACAGACTCAATATTCTAAAGCAGCCAGGTCCAAAAAAGCCTGTGCATGATTACTTCTGTCATTTACCAGATCTGCTTATTGCAAAATAATTAATTTATAACAGAATGCAAATAAATAAATAAATAAACAAATAAAAACTACACATTTGTCAGTCAATCTGTTAATATCTAATGCTGTGCAATTCCAGACTAACCTTGCGAAAGGAATGTAAGACAGGCTATACCTATAGAGAAAAAAAAATGTTAGATAAAATTTATTTCAGTACAATAATAGACACTGAACGCTGTGCTACTGGTTTAAAATATACTTAAATTCTAATATTTACTGCAAAGTGTCAATGGAAACTTACCATGCAAATGCAAGGACTTGCAAAATGACAAACAGCAAAGTGAGTGCAAAGATCTTCCACTGTGGTACAGAGATTAGTGTTATTTGAATCAGGGTTTGATTCATATTATTCAGAAATATACAATCAGATGGATGAGAACTCACCCAAAAAGCTGCACAGAGTGTGAGGACCAGACATGTCTATAGACAAAAAAAATAAATTTGAAAAATGTATTTATTAAAATAAATTTTAATAAATTTGTTTTTGAGAAAATGGTTATTTAAAAAAAAAAACTTTCAAAATGAGATGTAGCCTATATCCAAATTAAACAGGATGTTTAATATGAAAACACAATGCAGCATGAAAATTATTAACATTATTATTATCACCCTAGTCCCCTCTTGGTGTCATTGTCTAAAAAAATTAGTTGTTTCAGGTGTAAAAACGTTAAATGTGCACAGATGAAATGTTTAAAATAAAACCAAGAACATGCATTAAAAAGCAAAAGTAAAAAAAAAAAAAAAAAAGAAAAAGATACATTTTGATTTCTTCTTTACTTTTGTAAACAAAACCACTACAAATATTGTGCAAAAACAAAGACTCTTCTAGCATGTCTGCATTATTTTCACAATTAGATTATCTTGTTTTTATATGAGAAAAAAAAAAGAACTCACTATCATAACAGTAGTAGCAAAGGCTCTGCTCTTGTCACACATGCGTTTCAGCTGTTTTAATGGTCCCATCAAAAACATTGTGCTGTGAGGGTGGATTCAAATGAAACAGAAAACTCAGTAATGTCTCAAAGAGAAAATTCAAATAAAATAATACAAAGTTAGTACAACTTATTATAGCTTGGTGACCGACCTTACTAAGGAGCATATGTTGCCAAATGTGTAAAACACAATGAAGAGAATCAATCCTATTTTGGGAATAAATAGGCAACATACTCCCTGATAAAAGAAAGAAAGGAAGAAAAGGCTAGTTATTAATATAATGGTACACAAAGTTATACCAAATAAAACTAGTTTCTTTCCTAAACTTATCACTCAAAATACTTGGATGTACACAGCAAAATGGCATTTCAACGTAATACGCATTCCTGAGAGCAGGTCAAACCGGTGACACAGCTCTGCTTAAACATATTTCTCCAACTCATCGCCTATCCCCTCTCAACATTAAAAGGAAGTTACCTGTGTGTAAAATATAATCAAAATAAAGTTGATTAAAGTTTAAGTCACTGACCAGGATCGAGCACACAACACCGATGACCATACAGGCGAGGAATCCTTTCAGGCGCGGACCCCATCCCAGCGTGGACGCTTCATTCGCCGCCTTGAGTGAATAGAACAGACAACTGAGATTTAGGCTACATGGTGTTTTATTAGGCTACAACTAATTTATTTAAGTTTAAATAGCTATAAAATTTCTTAATGAAGATTTATAGCAGAGCAGCACAGTTCTTTACCTGCAGTATATTTCTGTTGTCATTGTTTCCATCACGACCACCCAGAACCGCTCTGAGTTTGTCCATGACGAAACATTCAATTCTATGTATTAACTGAATCAATTAACTAGAAATCCCAGATAATGTGTTGTTGTCACATCGTCCAGCTGGCACTCACTTGACATCACTCTTCTTAATGACATCCACTCTGCTCACCTTTGGCGTCTGGGCTGCCTTCAATGAACATTCTCATTTTGCTCAAGCACGCCACCTACCTTCTGAAGTGCACTAAAAGTCAATAATATCTAGCCTTAGTGTATGTAGCCTATGAATGATGATAGTCAGTGGTTTTCGTGTGATCAGAACACTTATTGAGAGACAATTTCTTTCATTCGTCAATTCATGTATTCTCTTGTTTCTTTCATTCCATCCATCCATCTATCTAGATATATATCTATAACATAACTAGTTGGGTCTTTGAATTTGAACTATGCAAAAAGAGAAATATATGGAAAAAATATGTGAATACCAGCACGTCAAATACAGCAATTACTATAAACAAAGTCACTGCACACTGAAAAAAAATGTTTTTAGAAAATGTATTTATCAAGTCAAATTAAATTATTCAATAAATGCATGTGATAAAATACCATAATGTCAAGATTCTCTTACATTGGTCAATACTGCTTTTTTTTTTCTCCCTTGTCTTTTCCAAAGAATAGAATGGAACAAACACAAAAGACTAAGAAATAAACAAACACAAAAGACTAAGAAATAAACAAACACAAAAGACTAACTGAGAAATTGTAATGGCTGTCAAGAATTGTTAAAGCAGTATTCATCGTCTGGTGTCGTTTAAAGCCCTTTGAAGCTGCACTGAAACTCTCATTTGGACCTTGAACCATTTGGTTCCCAATGAAGTCCATTATATGGAGAAAATCCTGAAAATGTTTTCAACAAAAAGCTTAATTTCTTTTCGACATGGACATGAAAGACATGGACATCTTGGATGACATGGGGGTGAGTAAATTATCAGCAAAAGGTTTTTTATAAAGTGAACTACTCCTTTAAGAAAACACAAAAGTATCATTTTTTGATGACTGGAAGTGACTTAAAAAAATCCTAGGGGCATTAAAACATAAATATTTCAGCTTGTAGATCAAATAGTACCATTAAAAACAATATGATTAAAATATGATATTCCCTTGAGTAACAACATATAAAATACTGACAAGGCACACAAAGACAATACTTAAATTTCCAGAAATGTGTCAAACAGAAAATTATGTAATGCCAACAAATAGTCTACATAATGAATCAAGAATAATAAATACATCATATTGACTTAATCTAAACTTGTATAGAAAATAATCAAGTTTGAAGTTGTCATCTCTCATCTGCTCTTCAGAAAGACAAAGCTAATATTTAGTTGGAATGCCTCGATTTTTACTATCCATCTCTTACTCTCTGTCTCCATATTTTTCTTTGGTCTGAGGCCAAAATGAATTGGGATGCAGCGTTGAACGTGTAAGGACTCATAACATCTCGTCTTCAGACTCTACTTCTTTGTCCCTTGGTTTCAAAAGCCCCATTTCCATGGGTGGCATCCTCCGCAGTCTGGCACGCACAGCACTGGAGGGAGAACAATGAAGGTAAACGAAAAGGAATTCAATAAATCTAACATACAGAAAGGAAATTCCATTAAAAAAAAATGCTTTCATAAGCAATATAGATTAAATACACTACAAAAGTTTGGGGTCAGTATGTTTTTTATGCTCACCAAGGCTGCATTTATTCCATAAAAAATACTGAAAAAACAGTAATGCTGTGAAAAATTATTACAATTTAAAATAACTGTTTTCTATTTTAATACATTAAAAAAAGTAAAGATGGCAAAGATTAATTTTTAGCAGCCATTCATCCAAGCTTCAGTGTCAAATGATTCTTTTGAAAATAATTAAAATAAAATAATTAAAGTACTGACCCTAATCTTTTAAAAAGGCATTTAATGCTCCTTTAGATCTAATTTAGGTTTGTGTATTTCATGTTTGAATGAATAGAATATGTTGTGCTCACCATAGAACAGACCAGTACACTACAGCTACAGTGAACAATGCAAACGCGAGGTGCCAACAGTAGCATAATGTGACAAACATAACATTTCCATGGTCTGTCTGATCCCATTTCACTTGACTGGGCGAATACAGTACGAAGCCAATCTAGAAAAATACATGAAAAAAAAGAGTTAAAGAGTGTCAAAATAAGAGTCAAAATGACTTACACACAGATTGCACTTACACAAATACACATAGGTACACACACACTGACCTGCCAAAACCAGCTGCCCTGCAGTACAGTGAGAGTGGCTCTGAACAGTTCTAGTAGAATATTCCCCCTGTGGAAAACCTCCAGAAGGCAGATGAAAGCTTGTCCAAAGATGGCATAAAGAAGAAGAGTGTGCACATGGACATCAAGCAGGTCTCTACCATGGAGATGATAAAGGAACAGAAATCCTGCAAGAGGCAGACATGTACTTTCAATTGTGTTGCAATATCACAAAAATAGAAAATGAGGATTTTCAAGAGTAAAAACGAGTGCTCAATTTAGGTAAAAAAAAAAAAAAATCACACATTCTCTAACATTAAAAATGCATTTACAAAACACTCTTTCACATGAAATCAGTATGGTGAAAATGAAGAACATACCTTCATTAAAGAAAGCAAGACCCAACAGCATTCGGTCTAAAGCCAAAGGGGCGATGTCAGTGCTGTGGACAGTGAGCGATATGGCCTCTGCGATGGCAAAGAACAGGTACATGGTGGTGTGCTGCCAGTTCATCAGCTGCTCCCAGTGCTGAGTGGAAGAATCGTACAGTTGAAACTTGGGCCCACCTGCTAGAAGCTGCTCTGCTAACATACCTATGTAAATGGCAGAAGAAAAACAAATATGATAAGCAGCAATTACAGGGCCAAGCACCACAGAGCGGGGCATCAGACCAACATCAGACCAGACCGTGATTTTAAGCAAAATGGTTGAAAGCCCATAAATACAATGACTTGTAATGTGACCTATGGCTTATTACTTTTAACCAATAGGTGGCACTGACAGCAAATTGATCTGGTGTGGTCAATGTTGGGATTTTTTTTTTTTTTTTTTTTGGTGAGATTTTTGGTCAAACGGCTCAGAAGTTACAAGCAAATTTTTTTTCCCATATTTTGTGACCACTAGATGGCACTGTTTCAAAACTGAGAGATAGTCCCACGTCCATTTTGACGTTCTCATTGTCAAATTCGCTCGCATTTTATTCAAGAACAGTTTGACAAATCAACTTGATATCCACTTTTTTGTCACCGTGGTCTGAAGATGATCTGAGCCAATTTTGATTTGATTTTAGAATTGGGCGAACAGTCAAGCCTGACGTTGTCATACTCAGATTCTAGTCAGAATGTGAGTCTGATACATAGACAGTAAAAGAAATGGACCAAAGATTTCCACAGATAAAAGTGAAGCCAATTGACCTATGGCTACGCTACCACTCACTTGGACAAACAGTCAACATTCGGGACAGGCGCTATATGGCAGCTGTCAGGAGACATTTCACAGGAGGCAATTGGTGATTTTTGAGACAGAAAGATTATATATCATCTCAAAGTCACCTAAAGGGCATTAACTATGCTTTGGAGGGTTATATTATTAATTTTATTGTTGAGAAGGTCGATGAAAAGCTTCAGCTCCAGGCAAAAATGTACATGTCACAGTGTAAACGTGATAAACAGCATATCGTTGCCATCACCGTTTGGTGCTACAGTATTTAAATGAATCATTGAGCACAACATTCTTAAAGGGGCTCTAACCGATATCGGGTGAAAAAAAACCCCCAAAAAAACAAATTTATTTTTTTGGCTGAATCTAAGGTGCTTTATATACACATTTGACAACATTTATTTGTCTACATCAATAACGAAACCTCACATTATATTGACGAAAAGCATGGCAGCAACTCACCGATAATAGAAAATGATAAAATGACAGCTCCTTCTATGATTTCTATGCGGCGTTGTGTAGCTCGAGATGCAAGTCTTCCCGCACCAGCACTTTTGTTCCTGCGGGTGGTGTACAAAAAGGTCTGCTTTGCGGCCCACCACAGACCAGTGATCAGGAAGAAACTTCCAGGCAATGCATGGCCTTTAAAACTTCCCATGATTTCCTGGAAATAAGAATAACGATTTTATTTATTGATAATTAATAAATAAAAACTACATAACCAAATTACCTCATAATAATAACAATTCTACTTCATATCAAAATGTACAGTGCCAATTAAAGGAAAAGACAATGTTTACTGGATTTCTTTAGTAGATTGTGTGTGTGTGTGTGTGTGTGTGTCTGGGTCTGTGTGTGTCTGTTATATGTGTGTATGGTTTTTACATATTTTGAAAACCTTGACAAATCAATTATTGTGAATAGACAGGCAGAACACAATTCTCGGTAAACTAGGCAACTTTGCAAGAAAACAAAATAAGAGAGTCCGAGAGACGCGCTTTTTCATACTCGGGACTGACATATCAATACAAGATCTCACATCACTTTCGGCACTGATTTTGTGGTATCACTTTACAATATGGTTTCATTAGTTAATGCATTACCTAACATAAACTAACACTGATCAAAACATTTGTTTAATGTTAGTTAAAAATACAGCTGTTCATTGTTTGTTCATGTTTTTTCACAGTGCATTAACTAATGATAACAATCACAACTTTTTAACTTTAATAATGCATTAGTAAATGTTCAAATTAACATTATTTTAGATTAATAAATGCTGTAAATCTTGCTCATTCTTTACTAAAGTGGGCTAGTTAACTAATGAATCCTTATTGTAAAGTATTACCGATTTTGTTACTCCATATTTATTGCCTTCCTGAACAATCAGTTCAACACACTTTATATTTAGCAATGAGTTATATTAAACAGCAATGTGATGATAGATGTTTTAAGCCCAAACCAAGGCAAATCAGAAACACTGTTAATCTTGGAAGTATAAAACTACAAAAAAAATGACTCCTGTGTCATTCACCATCCACATGAAGGCTAAAAGTTGATTTGTACTTGACTGAACTTTAATTTTGTCTTTAACATTTAACTTTAAAGATCAATAATATCAGCTATTTTTATTCTTATCAGTGAACGTAATCAAAGCAGTACATAAAGAAATTATACGAATAGCATGTTCCTCCTTTTCTCTTATTGAGAATGATTTCCAGGTATTATTTAATCAACAAGCTGATCAGTACTTGTCCTCAATGTCATTCAGGTCCAATGACAATCGTCATCACTGCCATAATCAGATGTGTGAGTGTCTAATCAGAGCGTGTCCATTAGACCAAGACCTTTTATAGGGATAAAAAATTGCATGTGAAAAGGACGCTATAACAACAGCTGCTATAAAGCAGACACAGCAAGCTCATAATGATCAAGCTCAAAATGGGGGGAAATAAATCACAGTGATTGTAATGAGTTTGAGATAAAATCATATTACATAGACTTTATGAATCTGTAATACATATTTCAAACGAGGGTTTCAAATGTTGTTCTTAAAATTACACTTCTGTCATCATTTTCTCATCCCCATGTTGTTCCAAAACAATTCTACTTTTGAGAGTGTGGTAGGGTGAGAATTTTTTTTTTTTTTTTTTTTTTTTTTCTATTTTGCTATACGACAATGAAAATAAAGGCAATGAGTAGCATCTCTGCAGCTTTGATCTGATTCTGAACACACTGTTTTTCGGGATGCTCTGCTGTTACCATAGAGACAAACTAAAGCTTTGAGAGTCTCTCCAGTGAAGAGGCCCGATGCTTTCATGCATTAAATAACTAACTTACATAAGGACGACATTATTTGGAATTGTACATAAAAAACAAAGCCTATTTTGTCTGAACCAAAAAATAATAATAATAGTACAAAAAGAAACCGCAGTGCTCTTTTAGGTTACACGCACAAATATGGCATAATAGCTAATCCAGCAGGTTTCACGAAAGGATGACAAAAAACAAATAACGTTAGGCTTTTTTAAATAGCTTAAAATCTTACATGAAAAACGATTCAGCCTACACCGTAATGGCTTTAACAACTTAAACTGTTGTTTATTGGATAAAGATCTCTGCGATGCCACTTTAATTTGACTAAAGAGAAAAAGCCTTGTGAGTCCGTTATTTTTTAAGAATCAAAAGTGGAAATAATAACTTCATTTAGGCACAGTAAGTTAGGGGTCTGAAATATGATTTAAGAGTTCTTACCTTATCGTTTGACCAAATAATTAGGATAGTCTTGGAAAAAAATAAGAAGCAACCTCACAGTCGATGTTTTTATCGAGTGTCTGCATTTGATGCTGTAACAGTTCACGAAAAATGTTCAGACACCCTCACACGGTTAATTTTACTACCTCTTGACCATCATCATTTTTTCCATCAGGAATTCACGTATCAACTTCTTTTCCACTTTTCCAGCTGTTTCGCAACCAGATTTGTAGGGTTGATCTTTTTCAGAGCGTCTTACTAAGGGAACCTCCCATTCCATCAACGATTCGTTCGTGAAGCCACTAAACGTCATTGTTTTTGAATTGGATTGGTTAGTTGACATGTCAATCAACAGTTGGTCTCTTTTCCACGTGTGCATTTTTTCTCTGACCGAAGCAGTCTAGACTTCACTAGGCAACAATACAAGGAAATGTGAGTCCAGTGGTTTAAGAAACTAAAAGCAGGCTAGTTGTTAAAAATGTAATAGTGTATTTTTTTGCTATGTTTTTACATATTTTGAAAACCTTGACAAATCAATTATTGTGAATAGACAGACCACAATTCTCGGTAATAGGCAAACGTTTTGCTACAAAAGTTGAATAATATTTTACCGAGATACTGTTTTATAAGAACGGTATTCAAAGAGTTTAATTGGGTTTTTACATATTTTTTAGTTATTATAATTATTTTTATTTATAATTGTACAGGGCGGGACATGTAGCCTAGCCTACGTGCACAAAGGCACGGTCCCTCCTGACAACGGAGAGAAGAACATAATTTCATCTATCTAACAGTATATTCATTATTTATTTCACAGTTTATAACGTGCACTCACTTACATTGAATCCAACTAAATAACAGCCTACAAAATCTATAATCTTTTTAAAAACAAAGTAATGACACCTACAAAACAATAATGTCAAAATAACAGCATATAAAAACGTTGCAACAATGTAGGCTTGATAATTCTACTTGTGTAAATTCCTAAATTCAATTTTAAATATTTAATTCAAAGTATGGTTCTACAAACAACATATTCTACATCTTTGGTGCGTATATTTACATTTCTGGTCATCAAAAAACATCACAATACATTGGTCAGAGTCTAAAACTCCCTGCCTTTGAATTTGCCATGTTTGGGTAATGCAGATGTGCATTTTGTGCAATAAACAAAAGTTGAGAGATGAAATAAGTGAAAACAAAAAGGTCATAAATTTAGCATGCACAGTTTTAAATAGCCAAATGTCCTCATGACACTAGGAAAATAAGCAAGACAGACAGAAAACGAGGGTAAGGAATGCATAGAGCTGAGGCTCTTGAGAGTCATATACAGATGCACATCCATTACACTCATATGTGTGCAAGTAACAGACCATATAATCATGCAGGATTGCTACACACTTGCCTGTACTTAATTTAAGTCTTTAACCCATGCCTCCACCCAGAGATGATGGTCCAGCCCGTTCTCATCCCAAGGCGTCATATGCTGACGCTTTTGCCAATGCGTATACATCCTAGCGTCAATATGAGACGCAGATATATATGGGCCAGAAGGCGCCTCCTAGTGGTCTAACCCTAACCCTACCTCAGACCTAAACCTACACATACTCTTTGCGTGTTATATTGACACTAAAGGGTGCCATGTGCATTGGATGTCTACGCATTGGCAAAAGCAGTATTTGATGCCTTGGGATGAGAATGCGTTGGATGGTCGTGGTTTGTTTTTATTTACATATAAACACACTAAATTAGTGCCCAGGGTCACTGGAAGCAGACAGACATGGAAAGTGAAGAAATATGGACATTTAGGGAAACTGGACAGGAGCAGAGGACCAGGGGCTCAAACATGGTCACATGAACTTGACAGGTGGGACATGACTGTATCTGCCAAAGCCATATCTTAATGGACTGTAAGAAAGGAAAGCAATATTATGGAGGGTCATTCATTTCCAGGCATGTTTGTAAAAATGGAAAACTATTGGAACATGAATTTACTGATAAGTTACTATACACTCACAAATAAAGGGATTTTTTATTATTCCACGAACAACCTTCAATATTCATAGAACCTTTCCACTGCACAAATGGTTCTTTGTGGAAAAAGGTTCTTCATAATATTAAAATATTCTTCACATTAAAAAACAAAGATTGAAACCTTTATTTTTAATTAAATGCTTAGAATATTAATATCTTTTGTTGTTGGTTTTTTGACAAATGAACAGTACATTACTAAAACAAAGACTAGTTTGTGACATAAAAGCTAAAGAAAACAATGTTAAATGAAATGTTATGTTTATTCTCCACCAAAGAAAAAAATAAATAAATCGTTACCCAATTTTCTATGACTGAGCAGTTTACAAGAGCCATAACGAAGGCATGATAGAACCTGCATGACAATGCATGCATGAAAAACAGTTGACCTTTGAGGGGCAAAAATGTGGCCCAACATTGATTTCCATTACAGTGGTGAGATTAGCCACCAGCTTATTTCCAGCACGTGCATTTAACAACCTAATGTATCTTCACAACAGCAACTCCTGACATTTGACCTGCAAATTCAGGATACCAGTTTCAGCATCCATAATCCAGCCTAGCACCAAAATAACCCTAATCATTTATATTCACAGCTGGTTTTCTAATCCAAAAGCTATATATTATTTACTGTTACAACAAGTTGATCGAGAGTTCATTAACACGCATAACCATATTATTGTTCACTAAAAACAAAAAACAAAACAAAAAGTATTTAAGACGTTTTTAATTGTAATATTTCTAAAATGTAAATGACTTAGAATTTGAAAAAAAGGCATCTAATTTTTTGCTTTGTCCTCCAAACAAGAGATCACTTTCAAGGTTCATTTTTAAGCAAAAGTACTGTGGAGATAAACACAAACAAAAATTGACAATTTCAAATGAACATGGTTTTTGATAATACACTGAGTGATTACTGTTTAGTTGAACAACTTTTGGTACCATGGTATATTTTACTGGAAACAATCAACGCTGTCTGCGTAAAGACAGTTTACGGCAGGGCAAGCGATATTCCTCTTGTCCAGGGCAGAACGGTGTCCCCTTCCCTAGTTCACATGTAGGCCCAGAACTCACACTACGTGGACGTGGACGCTGCTCTGGCCATTTTGCCTGCCCAATCTATAACCAGAGACAGAATATTTAGTGTCACAGTCACAGCTGATACAAGCACAGCAAGTAACAAGATAAACATGCATGCAAGGAGGAATTTTGCAAAGAAAAAGTTCATGTGGTGTCACCCATTAACCCACTGCTTCAATAAACATGGGGTATGGGACTCCACACACTAATGAGGTTACACTTTAAACCCCACTTGAATGTTGAGGAGGGAACACATGCAAGATACTGATCAAGCCTTATGTGTACTGCACAAGTGTTGATGGGATGGATTTGGCGCTGTTAGCAGGAAATGCATGCGTTTACCTCTTTATGAAAATGGTGGCTGCAGTGAAGCTCTTGGATGCCACCCCTTCCTTTCCGGAGTTCTTCATGGCAAACAAGACATATGCTATCTGCATTACCCTACAAATAAAGCAGCCAAAATCATCTTAAAATATAATTATTATAGGGCACTGATGCATTTTGTTTAATACATAACTGTACTTTGTTGCAGTACACACTAACATCATACCGTTCAAAAATTTGATGTTGGTAAGATTTATTTTTTTTATACTCTTAAAAGAAGTCTCCTGTTCGCCCAAAGGCTGCAATTTTTTTTTAATCAAAAACAGTAAAAAGTGTTATATTGTGAAATATCATTGCAATCTAAAATAACTATTTTGTATCTTAATATTTTGTTAAATATTTTTAAAATGTAATTTATTTCTTGTAATGCTGAATTCTGAATAGCCATTACTCCAGTCTTCAGTGTCACACAATTCAGAAATCTTTAAAACATTTGCTGTTAATATGTTTGTGGAAACGGTGATACTTTCTTGAATAGAACGTTTAAGAGAACAGGATTTATTTGAGATATATTTTTTTGTCACGCTATCTGTAAAAAAACTAAAAAATCTTTTCATTATTAGTAATCACAACATTTTTCCTTTTGTCAAATCAACTTAAATAATTTATTTAGTTCAGATAACATATAATTTTAAGTTTCTGATGATTAAATTATTGTCCTTCATTGTATTAACTCACTTTTTCCATTTCAATGAACTTAAAATTGTGTGTGTTTTGTGTGTCTGTCACTTTTGATAAATGAAATTTAAAAAAAATCAATAAAATAAATCTTACTGACTACAGTTAGGCTATATAAGCCAGGCAATGTGTTATAGGGATAACTTACTTTAATAAATAAATGAAAGCTGCACTGTAAAAATGTTGCTGCAATTATTAATATATCAACACAACATTTGTTGAGATAACTAATAAATCAAACTTCACTAAACTAAAGTTAATAACTTAAAGTCAAATACATACTTTTTTAAAGTTGAAACAACACATTGTTGTGTCATGTTTTGATAAATAACCACAGCAATATTTTTTTTTTACAATGTGTATATCATTGTTGTGTTGTTGTCACTCCAACTCTGGCCTTCTATTAATGCAATACAGTCTCCCGGTGGCTTAATTTAATTAATTTACAACAAAACAAGAGAGAACATGCATCACAGATAACATGTATGTTATCTGCAAAAACATAGTTTTTGCTCTGCTGACTTGTTTTCCATTAGTTATTTTTGTGAATTGGAATGTGTGCAAAGGATTGTGGGTGATTGAAGGCTGCAGAAGCTATACTTGATGCATCTTTCAAAATGATTGCGAAGGATGCGAAATGAAGGTTGCTATCCAAGAATCCTTCAAATTGAAACGTCCTTTGACAGAGTTTGATGACGTGGCATGCTAAAGTATGCCGCCTTCAGAGGATGAATTGAGATGAATTAAATCTTCTGATTGCGAAGATGGACAGGCAGATTGACAAAGATTGGATGAACATTTTTTTCGTCCTTCCACAGAAGATGTACTGTATGTAGCCTACATTTTTTTTTTTTTTACATTTAGACCACGTCTATTATTGATTGCTTTTGGGATATGATGAGAGTTTCAAGCTGTATAATAAAAATGTTTCTGAAAAAAATTACAGTGTATCTGCGTTTCAGTTTGTGTGTGGACTTTCTGTTTATATTTTTGTTCATTTTTGTTTCCTGGCATATGCGTGTTTCCTGGCATATGACTCCTGGTGAAATGGCAGCAGAAATCCGAGCAAGACGAAGA